AGGGGGGTAAATCTATGAATGTTATTCTCAAAAAACTATTATTCTTTTTTTCCTGATATCAGTTACTTTTGACAAACATTTATTATTAAGACCCTACTATGTGCAAGGCCTGGCTAAACACTGAAGGTACTGCTGATTCACCACCACTATTACAGATGGAGTAATAGGGCCGCACCAAAGTGAGAGCCATTTTTTATTTGTCTTTGTTTTATTGGCTACCATGGCCAAAGAATTTGTTGCGTAGGAGTCCTGATATCTGCTCGAGTCTTTTGCTTGGACTTTATCAGTCAGTAAGCATTTATGAAGTACCTACTTACTGCACAGCCTGGCACTGTGCTAGGTGTTGAGGCTATAGAGATAAAAGCAATCATTTCTGCTCTCAAAGAGCTGATGTTGTATGGAGGGTGATAACCTGTAAATATACAAATGTACATAAACAGAGATAAGATGTTTTGCTGGGCAGAGGCAGCTGCAAGGAACAGGAGGAGCCTCACGCACCAGGTGGCATTTAAGCTGAGTTTTGGAAGAAAGTAAGGATTCTCCAAGGCAGAGATGAGGAAGGAGTGCATGACAGTGGAGGGTAGGGAAGTGACAAGCCCCTTCAAAGACTCAGAGACAGAGGACAGAGTGTTATGTAGGAGGAATAGCAAAGGGGCAGCTAGGTGGCACAGTGGATAGACCTCCAGCTTTGGAGTCAGGAGGACCTGAGTTCAAATCTGGCCTCAGACACTTGACACTTACTATAGGTGTGTGACCCTAGGCAAGTCACTTAACCCCGACTGCCTCGCCGAAAAAAAAAAGGAAAGAAAGAATAGCAGGAAAGTCAGTTTGGTTGGATTGTAGAATATGTGAAGGGGAGTAATATCTAATAGACCCATATTGGAAGCCATTCCGACAGAGCAGAGCCCAACAGCACTTATATTGTTTTTGGTACAGTCTTTGCAAACCCAGAAGCACCTTCATGCCACAGTTAGGCTTTGGAGTAGGGCTATGTAGAGACGATGCTGGAGAGACGAAGACAAAACTTAATACCACTGCTGCTCTCAAGCATCTTACGTGCTACTATTTTGTGGACCTAGACCGGGTCACTGGGCTGCTCTCAGCCTTAGTTTGACCAGCTGTGAAAAGGGGATAATAATAACATCTACTTCACAGGGTACTAATAATCAACTAAGAGAACATTCGCAAAGTGCTTTGTATACCTCAGTTATTATTATTCTTAGGCAAATAAAGCATTGACACGGATATGTAAACCTACTGAGAAGTACAAATGATTTCATCACTGTACCATAAAAACATTAACCAAAGTTGTGACTTGGGCTTGAAAGAGTTAATCTATTCTTACACTAATGGCTATAGACTTCAGATATTTCACTTTGTGTTCAAAGAACTGAACAAAACCTTTTTTTTATCTTCCAGAAGCAATGAGTTCTGATACAATCTCTCAAAAAGGAAATCTTTGCTTTGTGACATTTTGTCTCATTCTAATGTCTTTTGGCTTCTCAGCTTCCTATTGAAGAAATCTATTCTGTTGTATGGACCCCTATTCTCTGATGCTTATTATTCCGTTTCTCCCCTGACTTTTAAAAATATTTTCCCCTTAAGGGGCTGCTGCATTAAATTTCAGAAAGCCACCAAACATTCATAAAGGTTGTAATAATAGTTTCATCTATGTGTCAGACAAACAAAAGGCCAGGTAGGAAAGGGGTTTGTGTTCTAGGAGCTCACTCATAAACTCACAGCCCTGAAACATGAATTGAAAATAATTTGGACTGTGGAGACAGTTCATTTGGATGATTTGAAGCAAAACAAATGATTCTGGGGACTATTTCTTAAAAAGCAGTCTTGGAAATGCCAACAGTGCCGAGCTTCAAGCCACCCAAACCTTGGCTTGGGTCTGTGAACTTGTTTATCTATCTATCTATCTATCTATCTATCTATCTATCTATCTATCTATCTAGCAAGGCCATTGGAGTCAAGTAACTTGCCCAGGGTCACACAGCTAGTAAGTGTCAAGTGTCTGGTCTGAGACTGGATTTGAACTCAGGTCCTCCTGACTGTGGGGCTAGTGCTCTATCCACTGCACCACCTAGCTGCCCCTGAACTTGTTTTTTAAAAATCGTTTTGGGGCAGCTAGGTGGCACAGTGGATAGAGCACCAGCCCTGGAATCAGGAGGACCTGAATTCAAATTTGGCCTCAAACACTTGACACTTACTAGCTGTGTGACTCTGGGCAAGTTACTCAATCCCATTGCCTAGCCCCCCCCAAAAAAAATCATTTTAGTCTCAGTTAAGATTGACATCTCAGATACATTCTCTAATGCTGATTCTTGGCTTCTAAGGCATATTCTAGATATCAACTGCTATTCCTCAAAGTGAGTCTGATGAATGATTGGTTTGTAAATTTAAACTCATGGGATCATAGATCTAGAGCAAAAAATACCTTAAATGTCATCTGGTCCAACCCTATCATTTTAAAAATAAGGAAACTGAAGCCCAGAAAAGTAGAATTGACATCTTTAAAAATGTAAGTAACATCATGAATCAGTGCTGTAACCAAGAATCCTTGTGCTTCGATCAAGTACCCCAAATCACACCTGGAGCATTCAGTTGGTGATGTGCCTTAAGGCTAAAGGCCATGACACCACCCCAGTGGGGGTAAGGGTCAAGGAAAGAAGGACAAAGACCCGGGGACATTGATTTGGTGCCCCAATGGGAAAGGGGAGATGCAAGATCAAACATAGAAGTGCTCACCTCGACCCTGACATCAGGTAGTTTCTTATTTTAACTATTATATTTGCTAATTAGATGCTAAGCTATTTCTGAGGTGCTAAGGGACTGCTAGTATTTTAAGCACCCTCTAAATCTGGTACCCTGGACAAAGCTTTGGTCATCTTGTCCTAGTTGCAGATATATAAAGAATAAGATCTTTTCTGTGTCAACTATGAAAAAGGTTCAGCAAAAAAAAGAAACAATTTCCCACTAGATGTGTTTGCAGAGAATTAATCACACTCTAAACCCAAGTTCAACTTTCCAAATCAATCCATAAAACCAAAATGACACACACTTTTTTATATAAAAGGATAGAGCATTTTATTAACACTTTTTGCAGCAACAAAAATGACAGTCCACATCTTGTCATTCAACACAGCAAAAGCTATGACCACGGTTTACATCACTTTGAGGCACAAAGCAAAACATAATCTGATTTTTCCCTTAAGGTTAAGAAAGGTTTGCATTTTTTAAACAATTTTCAAGTTTTATATTTGCAGTAGCAGGGCCTCCAGTCACTAGTACAATACAATGAACAGATAAAAAATCCAGAATAGACTATTACATACACGCGCACACACGGATAATCACTGGATTCAAGTTGGGAATACCATGTCTTTATCCATTTTGGAAAGTTAGGAAGTGATCTGGTGTTCACTTTGTTGTTCTGATCATTCCAGCCACCCAAAACATCTACGACAAGCAAAATGAAGATAATAATATACAGACGGAAGGATGATGCCCATTGTGATGCATTGCACTTACTGCTTGGTACACAGATGTTGCAATTCTTGTTGAATTACTGTAGGAAGTGCCAACGGGCTGTCTCTTCCTGGTTCTAAAATTCTACAACTTTATGAAAGTAGAAATTGCAATCTCCCAAACCCAACAGAAGTTGTATGCCGCTTTTGGTATATGTGAGGATTGTTGCTTTCACTTTTGTGTGCGTATGTGTAGATATAGACATATATGTATATATATATAGTCATATTATTTATTGCCCTCTATTTTTAAGACAAATACATTTTAAATGGGACTTGGAAAGTAACAAAAATTGTCTATTAAGTTTATATTTTTATATTCTATAGAGATCTGTGGCATGAGTCTAATACAGTATGGAATCATGAAGGGAAGAATGTCTAAATTGTCTTCTATTTCCTTTATCATTAAAATGATTTTTAAGGGCTATAGCTCCATAATAAATTTCTTATATGTCTTTTCTAATGAGTTTTTACAACCAGTACAAAGTTGTAATAAAAATACACTGAAGTCTATTTTTTTTTGAAAAAGTCATCAGACATGCTGCATGAAAATTCAGATTTTTAAAATGTAAAGTATTTTATACTGTCAGGTAAATGAATGGAAGAACTGAAGCATACCCGTCACTTTTCAAGATCTCCAACATGCAAAGAAAGGGGTTTCTTTCCATGCCGGAAACTCTAGCATTCATTCTAAATCACTCCAAGATATTCTTCTCTGTCTCACTAAATAGCTTGTGACAATTTTCTTTGTAAACAGACCTATGATTGCATCAGTGTGAGGGAACTCCCAGTGCAGAAACTCCCTCCACCAATGTAGATCAGTATCTCTGCTGTAAATTTTAGTCTTAGAGAGTTGTCTGGGGACACTGAGAGGTTAAGTGATTGACCCAGGGTCACATAGCCAGCACAGGTCAGAGGCAGGTTTTGAACCTGGGTTTTCTTGACTGGAAGGCCAGTCTTCTTCCCATAGCACGGTGCCCTCACTGTAAAATCATAATTTACAGAATATCTTGTTAGCTATTGCCTATTCAGCATACTTCTGAGGGTTGCCAGAAATCTGAAGTCTTCACCTTACAGCCAGCAGGCACTGCCTCCCTCTGACTGAATAAATATGGATTCTTTAACACAAAGTCCTGTTAATATAACTATTTCCATATAGTGTAGCAAATATATAAGTGCATTTTTCATGATCAAGTAGCTTTGGCTTTTTCACCAGAGTATTTGATGTGCCATGTGCCAACCCAGACAGTTGTGCTTTCATCATTGGTTATGAGTTTGAGCTCTTGTGTCTATAGAAGAAACTAGTTGCTTCTATAGTTTTGACCAGGAAATTTGAAAAATGTGTAGTGCAGAAATGGCTGGACCTGAATAGATGTGATGCCATATCTCAATGGGGACAGATTGTACTTGGACAAATGGTCACTTGATGGGATTGATTTTTGGGGTTTTTTTAGTTGCTTTTTTGTGTTTTTTTTTTTTTGTACAGCAAGACCTGTCATTTTGATACGTGTCAACATGTTTACACCACATCTCTTGTGCAAACAACCACGATGGATTTAATCACAAACACTATAAAATATTCAATGATTAGCTCTGTTAAGAATAATCTTCTCTTTCCTTATAGATGTATGAGTCTTGTACCTCTTCTTGTACAAATTCTTCTTTCTTCTCCCACCCATTAGGCCAACCACCATTGGCCTGTGTTGTTGCCCCATAGGACTTTGTGGTACCATAATTTACGTAATTTTGAGTAATGTCCCCTGTTTCTTCATCAAGTTCATCCTCATGAATAAAGCCGCACTTTTCTTCACTGGTCTCTTCGGGATCTGCCCAGGGTTGTTTCTCACCCGAAGCAAAGATTCCATAAAATATAACTCCACCATAGTGGACTAAGGCTGCAATCAGAAAGACATACTGCCACTCTTCCCGGGACTGAAATAAAGAAAAGTGGTACTGTGAGAAGAGCCTTTCAAGGTTTAAAAGACTCAATGTCTTCATTTAAATCTCCAAATTTTATATAGCTTTTTGAAGAGTATCTTATTCAGAAAAAAAAGCTATTTTCTACCAATCAATGGCCAACATTCACATAAGTAATATATCTCCAACATGAATGTTTTCATTTTTTTTTAAATTGTACCCGTTCTGAAATGAAAGGCAAGAAATATCTATGACCTGCCTTAAGGTAAAAATGGTTTCTATTAGAAAGCCTGAGAGTTCCAATTATAATTGAAATAAAAGACCTGGAGGAAGACACTGAAAGCATTGGATACATTTTCAATGGAGAATTTGTGCTACATGAAAAAGAATTATACAGGATAAGACTTGCATGGGTTGTGATCTTCAAGGGGGAGAACACCTGTACTGATCAGAGAATCACAGGACCTCAGAGGCCGTGTAGTCTCATCTGTACCTGAACTAGAATCCCCTCTACATCCCACATCACAGGTGGTCATTAAGCACATTAAGATCATAGATCAACTGAGAGATCATAGAGTCACAGATTTAAATTTGGAAGACACCTAAGAGGCCATCTAGTCTAAGCTCTTCATTTTTCACAGATGAGTAACTAGAGACCTGGGGGGTTTAAATGACTTGACCACAATAACATAGGCAGGAGGCAAGATTTGAACACAGGGCCTCTAAGCTCAGAGCTAGTACTTAAAGTACATAATACGTACTTTGATTTCTCTTGTTTTTCCATTGAGTTCATTTTATTTTTGTCTCCTATAACCAGCATTTTGAGTTAAAAGACTGGTACTTTGCTCTGCCTGGTCTCAGAGGGCAGAACTGGTAACAACAGGTAGACACTCTATTAAAGTGGATTTACAATTGACCAACAGGAAAATCTCCTTACAAGGAGGGCTGAGCAAAAATACCAAGGGAAGTAGTGAATCCTCTACCTATAAAGCCTTCAAGTTTGGGATGGACGGTCACTTGTCAGGCATCTTGTGGTAGAAATTCCTGCTTTAGGCAAGAATTTGACTGACACCTGAAGCACCTTCCAACTCTGCAATTGTATAAATTGAAAAGCATGGTTGTAACCAACCTCAAGAGGATATTAGGGAATAGCATTACTGGAGATTTGTGGAATAAACGCCCACCCCCACCCCTCAGGTGTTCTGCAATGGTCGCAAGCTATTCTGCCAACCAAACACATTTGAGAGATATTGAGAAGAATGTAGCTTAGTGTCCAAGGATGAGGTCTACCTCCGACCTCCTGACCACAGACATAGAACATGAACAGGAGCAATGAACACAAGGCAAGATCTTTGCTCTTTGAAATGCGAACACACGCTTCCATTGGACCACCTACCTTGTTCTTTGTCATTGCACCAACAATGATTGGGCAAACCATTCCTGACAGTGTACCAACGCCGTTTGAAATACCCATTAAGATACTAGCATATCTCGGTGCAATATCCAAGTGGTTGACGTTGAATCCTGAAATAAACACCCAAAATTTCATTCCTGAGGTTACAAGACCTCTTGATTAAATAAAGTAAATAGCAAGCTCAAGTTGTTGAAAACTCAGGTGATTTTTTTTTAATGGCTTAGGGGAAATGACTACCAAAAGTACACACGTGCGCATGTGCACAGGCACACACACCACACACACACACAAATGCACAAACACATCTATCTGCTAATGATGTAAAAAACTTTTCTGAAAGTAATAGATTGAAGCAGGGGAGGGAGAAAGCTAATTAATTTAGGCCAAAGTTCCCCTTTTATGAGACAGGAGGCTTCTAATATGACATCCTCTTATGTTTAAGCATCTATTATGTACAAGGCACTATTTCAGGTGAGAGGGATAAAAAGGCAAAAAAAAAAATCCTGCCTTCAATGAACTTACATTTCATTGAAGGACCTTCTATTCAATTTTCAACATGGTTATGTTTAGAAAGGGGAATTGTCCATAGCTAGGATGAAGCCATATTTCTCTTAATCGTGGCTGAATGACTAGAATTGCTGGCCAGGTGATTTGCCCATTGACTAAATGGTCAATTACAAACTCCTGAGCCCACCGCCAAAGTCCTTCCACAATCCGTGCCTACTTCACTTATACAGCCTTATCTCTTATCATTTTCCAAGACATGCTTCCCTTCGACTCAAAGTCATGAAATGTGTTTCCCTTCTAGTACCCTTGCCTACTCCAGCTACAATTTCAGCCTACCTAGAATGCCTTCCCCTACCTTCATTACCAATCCAACTTCTGCACATCTGGCAAGACTCATCACACTTCTCCCTTCTCTTGCTCAACTGCTTGGTGACTTCATCCCACTCTGCTAACCTTTGCATTCAAATTCTTTACCCTTTGTCCTCTTGGTTGTTATGCCTTGCCAAACTCTAACCTTAGATTGTTACCACACACACACCCCCCCCATCCACTACCTTCACTACTTTTCACGTGCTGCTGAACACTAGAGAAAGTCAAAAAACTGAACTGGCTGGATATACTACCAATTTGTGTTATATAATCTCAACTGGGCCTTCATTCAGCAAAGCAACACTTTTACATTTACCTAGTGGATTCACTTTCCCATTATCTGCACTGAGTATTCCAAACTTTTCATCTCTCTTCAAGCCACCCACAATATCCCTCCCCAACCTTCTCACTTCAATTTACTGGAAAAAAAATTGAGGCTATTCAATGAGAACTCCCTATTCTCCTCTCCTCTTCATTTCTTATCACTCAGATGTCTTTCTTTACTATCTCCTTCTTCACCCACGTCTCACATGAAGATGTACATGGTCCTTATCCTTACCAAGGCAAATTCTTCTATGTGCATACTTGACCATATCTTAGTTTTCCTCCTCTACCTCTTTACTCTCTTTCTAATCTTCAATACCTCCCTAACTACTAGCTCCTTCTCTGCTATGTACAAATTTGCTGATATTTCCCCCATCCTTAAGAAAAACCTTCCTTCAACTATCTCCACTATCATCCTTTACTTTTCCTCCCCTTCATGGCTTAACTCCTTGAGAAAGCCATCTACACTCAGTGTTTCCACTTCCTATCCTCTGATTTGATTCTAAACCCTCTGCAAATAGGCTCCTAACATCATCATTCAACTGAAAATGCTATCTCCAAAGTTACCAATGTTCTTTTAATCAACAAATCTAATGGTCCCCAATCATCCCTCTTGATCTCTCTATGGTCTTCGACACTGTTCAACTTTTTCTCTTGGATACTATTTCTCAGTTTTTGTGACACTACTCTCTCTCCTGCTCTCATTTTACTTTGCTGTCCTCTCCTTCACAGCTTCTTTTCTCTGTTTTCTTATAGAAAATACCACTGACGATGGGCATCTCCTAATACTCTACCTGGGGCCCTTTTCTCTTTTCCCTCAGTACTATCTCATCAGCTCCCTTGGTTTGAATTATCATCCTTATGTAGGTGATTCCCCCAGATCCAGTGTTACTCTCTCTCTTGATTTCTAATCTCACCCCACCAAATACCATTTGGATATCTTAAATTGCATGTCATATAGACATCTCAAAGTCAGCATATCCAAAACTGAACTTATTATCCTCCCCCTGCCCCAAATCCTCTCCTCTTCTGAATTTCTCATACTGTGGATGGCACCACTAACTTCCCAGTCACTCAGGCTCAAAACCCAGGTGTCAGTATCAGCTCCTCACATGCACTTCACTGATACAATCCGTTGTTAATTCTTGTCATTTCTGCCTTCAAAATAGATCTCATATCTGTCCATCTCTCTCCACTTACAAAGCCACCAGCCTGGTTCAGGAAAGCTCCCATGCTTTATACCTGGGATATTACAATAGTCTTCTGTTATTTTTTTTTCTTTGCTGGAAACTTCTCCCACTCCAATTCGTCTTCACTTAGTTACCAAAGTGATTTTCCTTAAGTATAAGTCTGACCATGTCATTAACTACCACTCAATAAGTTTCAATGGCTCCCTATTACCTCAAAGATCAAATATGTTTGGCTTTTAAAATCCTATACAATCTGACCCCTTCCCATCTTTCCACATACTCTTCAATGCAATGACACTGGCTTTCTTGCTGTTTCTTACTTACAAAAACTCCACCTCCCAATTCTGTCTTTCATTACAACCTTGAAAAGAAATGTCACCATTAAAAAACAACTAAATTTGTATCTTACCTGATATAGCAAAGCCACTGAAGCCCACTGCAAGCACTAAGAAGGAGATAGCTACTCCCCGAGTATGAGAATAGCCCACGACCAAGAGCAGCGTGGCTTCCATGCCAAAGCCTTAAGAAGCAAACAGAGGAGAAGAACTTAATTGGAAATTCAAGGCTATTTCACATGGGCATCAATAAGGCCTGAAGAAGAAATCATTTAACAGGATCCCCTACACGGTATTCACCAATTGTCCCATTTTGAAGTGGTATCTGGAAAGGACGAAGCTAATTCTAAGCATAATGCCAATGGATGCCAGAGAGCAATCTAGTCCTTAAACATCAAGCTTTCCCTAATATTCAGAAACTAGTGGATTTTAAGGGAGAGACATTAGCCTAATCTGGGGGGAGAGGGATGAATCCAAAGTATCCTTCTTGTGAGATCAATGGAAAATTTCCATACATTATTGAATTTAACATTCCCAGGCTAGATTGCCTGGGAGTTAGAACTAATCTCCATGTGGTTACAGTGCAATATTTTTCTCAGAAAGATGAGACGTGGTTAAAATGCAAGTTAATGGTATGTATCCACATCTTCCTTTGCACAGGGCTAAATGAATGCCCTGGCTCTTTTGGCAGAGGACCTGGGTTCAAATCTCAACTCTGGTGCTTACTGTGTGATCTTGGTCAAGTCCCTTAATCGATTTGGGGCTCCGTTTTTCATCTAAGAAAAGGGGCGGGTGAGGCTAGAAAGACTTGCCAATTTTAGATCTATGATGTTATTATTGTCTTATGATAATCATAAAAATAATAATTGACATTTATAGAACATTTTTAAAGTTTGCCGGTTCCTTTGCATATATTGTCTCTTTGGAGCCACATGACAACCCTGTGAGGCAGGTATTATAGGAGTTATTCATCCCATTTTAGCATTGAGGAAACTGACATTTGGAGAGTTTGATGACAGAGCTAGTGTGTATTCGATGTAGGATTTAAGTCAAGGACTTCCTGGTTCTATGTCCAACATTCTATCCACTGCCTAGTTGAATTTGTAAAAGAAGAGAAATGTGGCTAACATCAGTGTAAAGATTAATATCTTGTTTTGTCTTCAACATGGTACTACAAAAACAGTAGTATAAGGACCCAACACATAAGCTGATATGTGCTGAGTCATGGCCTTATCTGTGCTGCTGTCCCAGATTCCGAAGTGGAATCTAGGTAGGACATAGCACATATGAAAAATCAGCGAACATATTAAAGAAACACCAACCTAGATTGAACCAATGGCCCATGCAGTTTAGTCTCCTTTCTTTTAAGTGGGCCCAATGGCTATGATACCAAGGTTCACACACAGTGAATAGCATTCTCTACCTTGGAGAGACACTCATCCTTACTGTCCACAGCTTTTTGGTCAGTGAAAGAGTATCAGGCATGGAAATAACTCATTGGTTTTCTGATTCACTGGGGCCCGTTGAAACGAGTAACATGGAAGGTGAAATAAATAGCTAGATCCAAACAATTCCCCATATTTAGGATGAGTGAACATATTCCACTCATGAAAAGATCACCTTAGTATAACAAAAACAGGGAATTGCTCAATGCACTGACTTACCTCCACAATTCATGATCTTCCTCACTGTAGTAGTTGAAAGAATCTGCCGGCTTCTTAGAAAATCAGCAATTTGTCCTCCAATTGGCACAATGATAGTCATCACTAAGTGAGGCACAGCAGATAACATTCCCACCTGATGGAAAACAATGGGGTTGAGGGGGGTGAGATGGACATTAATCAGCTAACATTAAGGTTTGATGGCCCCATTTCCTGGCCTCTTCATGGCTTGTGTATGAAAAATGGGTGATGAAATAACCTGAAAAATGATGGTGTGTCCACTTGCTTACTGTCCTAGAATGGGCAATGATGTGTATTGAGTTGGGAGGAGGCTGAAAAAGAGAGAGATTATTGGCTCTGTCCCTCACTTCAGCCTTTACAACCACGATTGTTGTGATTCATCTTTTGCAGGGTTTACTCTCAACATCGTGGTTGGGATATATCTATGTCAGAACTACAGCATTCTGAGCTTGGGCAAAAATTCAAAAGATATTAAGAGATGTAAATGCCAAGAAGAAACCTATTAGCTCTTAATGCCAGTCCCAGGAATGTCTTCTGGATGCTGTGATCAAAACCTGGAGAGGGTAGCCATTCCCTTTTGAACAAATAGCTTCTATTTTAGTCTCCAAGAGTGAGCAATTTTCTTTATCCTGAACTGCACTGAGGATTCCTTTGAGATAAAATGCAAGCAAAAAGCCCAAACAAACTTCCATACTACTTTTTTACTACTTCCCTTAAACTATTCTGACCCCTTTATTTGCTCTAGAGATTTTAAGTTTTGAGTCATAGTGATTGATTAGGAAATGCTTGCTCCAATTAATGATCTCTTTGCCATAGCTTTTTCATTGTAGATTCCTAGCAATTTCTGAAGTTGTGTTTTATAGGGTTGCATGTTATATCTGTGGGCTGCTAGGTGGCACAGTGGGTAGAGCACCAGGCCTGGAGTCAGGAAGACTCATCTTCATGAGTTCAAATCTTGCTTCAGACACTTAATAGCTATGTGATCCTGGGCAAGTCACTTAACCCTGTTTGCCACAGTTTCCTCATCTGTAAAATGAGTGAGAGAAAGAAATGGAAAACCATTCCAGTTTATTTGCCAAGAAGACCTTAAATGGGGTCATGAAGAGTCAGACACAACTGAAATGACTGAACAACAAAATGTTGTATCTGTACATGATACTATTTTTCTAATTAAGTCTACCACATTGGACGTTTTATAAGCATTTAGTGTGAAATAGTGTTCCAAATAAATTAAAACCATTAAGGTAAGACAAAGGGAAGCAGAAGGAGTGGAGTGGGGATTGGAGAGAGAGGGTAGAGAGAAAAGATAAAGGAAAGAGAGTATGTTTCATTTTGGTCTAGACCTGGGACTTCATCAGTGTAGGGAACTCCTGATATGGAAACTCACTCCATGGATGCAGATGAGCTAGGGAGTCACCTGGGGGCACTGAGAGGTTAAGTACTTGCCCACTGCCACATAGCTAATATATACCAAAGCTAGGACATAAATGCAGGTCTTCCTGACTTCCATTGGCCTTCTATACATTATGACATGCTACCTGTACCAAAAAGAGAATTTATTTACAATGGGGTTGGTAAATTGGAGGGTCTCCAAACCAGCTCTGAGAATCACTTTAGAATACCATAGAAATCACAGAATTCTAGAGCTAGTGGTCCCACTGGACCACCATTACCAAATTTATGAGAAACACACATCTAATTTAATTGAGATTCAGGGGGAATTGACTTAACCAAGGTCATTGATCCAACTGTTGACAGGATCATAACTAGACACCAAGTCTCATAGTTCTATCTGGTGTCCTTTATATTTTAAATAATAATTACACTGACAAAAATTTACATTGTCTTCTAAAGATTACAAAGAACTTTACACACCTTATCCCATTTTTTTCCCTCATAGTACCCCCATAAGGTAAGTTTTACCATTATCAATTATCTCATTTTACAGATGATGATGACAGCAAACATTTATACAGTATTTAAAAGTTTTCAAACCAATTTACATATATTATTTCATTTAATCCTCACAAAATTCTGCAAGGTATGTATTATTCTTGTTAGAGACCTGGACCTTGGCTCAGGAAGATCTGAACTCAAATCAGACCTTGGATACTTACTAGCTGTGTGATACTGGGCAAGTCACCTAACCTCTTTCTGCCTTCATCTCCTCAACTGCAAAATGAGAATAACAACAGCACCTACCTTACGGAGATGTAAGGATGAAAGGAAATAACATTTGTAAAAATACTCAGCACAGTGTTTGGCACATAGCAGATGCTAAATAAATGCTCATTCCTTCCTTCTCTCTCTTTCTTCTTTGTATCCCAAGTGTTTAGCACAGTGCCTGGCATATAATTAGTGCTTAATAAATGTTTCTTGACTAACTGACTTGGCTGCTTCAACAGAAGCTTTATGTGCTCAAATCTCTTTGGCCAACTTCATTTAAAAAGTATGTGTATGTGTGTATGCCTCAGAAAGCAGTGAGCCAGATTCTGAATAGGCCATATTGTTTTATCTCAACAAGATTAAAATACTCTAATTGGATTCTAAGATGTGTATTTCTCCTAATTTTGGTGATGGTGGTCCAGTGGGAGTACATACATTGCCCTGAAAACTGTACCTTCAGATAAATGCTCGTTTCTTTTTCAGAATCATGTTTCTAGGGGTATTATCAATTTTTAAAAAATCAATACTCATGTCACATAGTCAATATTATAACATATTGACCTCCTACTTTCATGTCTAATAGTGAAATGTCAATCCTATGCTGGCTATATATTTTAATATGTGTAGGTTTGTTTGCAAATTCTAATTATCTCTAATTTTCAGACCCACAGAAAGCTTCTTAACCCATAATTTCACAGTTTAGCATTAGTTTTCTCCCATAATAATGAGGTTCATTGACATTAGAACTCCTTTTCTGGGCACTCCTCCCTCCCCCTCTGTGAAAATGTTTCTTTTACTAAAAGGCTGATACTAATGGTAAACTCTAAGTTTTCAGTGGTAGATACTGTTGGATAAGCATAGTAGAAGGATGCATCTGGAATGGTATGTAGGTCTTGAAAAGTCATCAGAAGTAAGTTAATGATTTTCTGATGTAATGGAAGGAAATGCTGTATTCAAATCACGAGACTTAGACTGACCACTTAATATCTATGTGACCTTTAACCTCCCTGGTCCTCAATCTCCTCACCTGTTATAATGATTCACCGTTATATAATCTTTTAAGGTTCACAAAATCCTCATGTGGTAAGTACCAGGATATTATTATCCCCATTTCTAGAGGTTAAGAAACTGAGGTTCTGAAAGGTGATGACTAGGTCAGAATTACATAAGGGAGGGAAGGGAGGGGAGGGAAGGGAGAAGAGGGAAGGGAGAGGAGGGGAAGGAAGGGAGGGGAAGGGATGTCATTGTATATCTTCATCCATCCATTGGAGGAAATATTTGGTCACTCGGTGTCTTCTAAGAATGAAGTTGATTCTACCCAATCAATGTATTCGAGTGGCTTTCATTTTACTTAATTGAGTTTTTTTCTGCACTAAATGACCTAGCCTTTGGGTGCTTTTGATAGGGGTCTCTTGAATCTCAAGAACATTAAACCCTTGTTTTATCATCTATTTCCCTTCTACTACTTCTGCTATTTAGTGCCTAATTATTGGTATCCACTTGTCACATAATCGGTGTCTGTTACTTTATTGCCATAGTAATGATATTATAGTTTATCACGGGTTTTACAATAACAATCTAAATTTATTTTCTATATTAAGCTCATTGGTTGTTAATATAACCATTACAGAGGAGGAGAATTCATGACTCACTCATTTCTACTACTTTGGGCCACATTTCCATTCCAACCAATCCATATCCCGCCATTTCCTGGCAGGCTGCCCAGAAGCAAAGAATGTTAGCCGAGCAATTTGACAGTCTTTTTGCCCTAAAATTTAGGGGGTAAGGAAATGGGTCCCCTTACTGATTATGTATGTGTGGCTAGATCCTATAATCTGACCTTTCATATCTATTTCTCTGTTAGCCTTTTTCCTCATCTGTGGATCTGCAAGCTTCAGATGGTTGTTAAAATGATGTTTCTATGAGATAATCTTAGACTGTCTCTAATTTGTGCCACATACAATATTTCCTGTTAATCAGACTGCTAAAATGTACTTGAAAGAGTCTATAATATGGTAGAAAAACTGAGAAGGTAAATAATAAGTCACTCAATTTACTGTATTATGGAGTCCCAAGCAAAGTCTGACTTATTTAGTTCTTTATTCTAAATTGATGGACCAAAGAAACTAAACTGATTGTGTCTCCCGGAATCATAGCATCTCAGGGTTAGAGAGGGCCTGAGAAGCTATCTACTCCAAGCCATACATGTAAAAGAATACATACATACACACACACACACACACACACACACACACACACACACACACACACACGCAGATAATATACCCAACAAACAGTCAGCTAGTTTTTTCTTGTAAGTTTCTCATGATAGGGAGCCTGATATTTCTTGAGACTGCCCAACCCACTTTGGGATAGATCTAGATATTAGAAAGTATTTCAGGCCATCGTGCTTATATTGGCCTCTTTGCAACTTTTACTCATTGGTTCTAGTTCTGTCCGCTAGAAGGAAACAAAATGAGAGTCAACCCACTTCTCTGTGATAGCCCTTCAAATACTTGAAGGCAGCTATGTTGTTTCCCCTGAGTGAACTCTTCCCCAGGCTAAAGATTCCCAGCTCCTTTACCTGACCCTCATCTAGAATGAACTTGATACCCTTAGCCATCCTGGCTGCCTTCTTTTGGACAGTCCAGAGCTTGTCAACATCTTTCCCGAAATGTAAAGGCCCAAACTGAAAACAATATTTCTGATGTTGGCTTACCAGGGCCAAGTATGAAGTACAAAGAACGTAGGTAAATCCAGACCGTTTGATATACCATAAAGATGAATCAAATAAATGTGTAACGTTGAATTTTTGACATGTATTTTTTCTCACTCAGGCCCTTTTAATAATATAGATTTCTATTTCCAGGGCAAGCAACACTATTCCATTAACACTCCCACGTTCCCCCCTTTACCCAGGTGGATAGCTCCATCTCTATTCATAAGCTCTTGGTGTCAAACTCATCCTGGCTTATGGACCTAGTGTGAGTGATTGGTTTTGAACTGTCACAGCCCACAGTGCTCCCCAGAGTGTTTGATCTGCTACAGAGAAAAGATGAGCACAATGGAAAGCATCTCTCTTCCTTGGAAAGGAAGAAAACAGTTTCCTTAGAAACAGAATTACCAAAGGGCTTGAAAAACGGCTGCTCCCCACCAAGTTTTCATCAGTCCATCTCCTAAAGAATTCTTTCAGGTAGAGATTTAGTACAGACACTAGAAAGCTGTGATAGGTGTGGGTAAGGACATGAAGAATAAGATGTGAACAAAGGAGATCAGAATTGGAAGGCACTTAGCAGAGTAACTGACACATAGTAAGTACTATATAAATGTTAGCTCTCATAAACACTTTGTATGCCAATTTATTAAAGCACAGGCATGCAACCAGACCTTGTGTTAAGTTGGAAACTTTTTCTTTTCATAATATTTCTAAATTTTGTGTTTCTATATCGCACATATTTATTGAGGGGGCATGTGACTTAAACCGATTGTAACATTAGTGTGGGGAAGTTCCGATTTGTAAAGTCTCCCTACCATAGCAGATTGTCAATTCATCTGTAATTTATAGTCTTACAGAGTTTATTGCGGGGGCACTGAGAGTTTTAAAGTGACTTGATAATGGTCATATGGATAGTATGTGTCAGACTCAGGACTTGAACCCATATCATCCTTACTCTAAGGCCAGACTTCTATTCACCATGCTGTGCTGTATATGTGAAAATACTAGATCATTGGGAAAAGATATCCCATCCTATCCTGACCTGTTCTAGCCTAGCCTATCCAATTTAATCTGTCCTGTATTTCAGGATATTTTGAGTCCCTTGAAACCTACTTGTTGAATGGAGTTTGGGAATATGTCCTATACGGAAAAGAAAATAAATGAGCAGATTTCATATTATTTTTTGAGAGCATCCAGGAAAAGACAAGAAGAATGATCAAGGGTTTCAAGTTCATGCCCCCTTATATACTTCTCAAGGTTCATATTATGACAAAGATCTGGGACTTGCTTTTCATCTAAAAAAAAAAGAATTAAAAACCAACCTCACCAAAATTATATAAATAAAGAGAAGACCTGTTTACATACCTTGCTGATCTCAAATCCAAAGACCTCCTCGAAGTAAGCTGGTTGACTAATAAGCAACAGGTAAAAGGTCCAGCTTCTGCAGAAGTTTGCAACAATAATTGCATAGACTGGCATAGATGTAAAAAATTTTCTCCATGGAGTCTTGAATTTCTGAAATCCCCCCAAAAAGAAAGTCCCATTTATCATTTAAACAATGCTTGAATTTTTTTAAAAACTCTTTAATGAATCAGTCCTCAGAGTATGTGAAGGAAAACAAAAGGCTTTATTGCAATATTTAATATAATCCCTAGCAGCACGAATAGTTATCACAAGAGAACAGTATGAAAATGTTAGCCTAAATTGTCCATTAAGTTGGCGCAGCTTTAAAAATAGGATCTGTATATAAGATTGTACGTGAGACCTTTTGTTCATAGGAATTTTCTATTAGGAATATTTCTATTCATAATAACTTATTTATGAAAAAATTAAGGCTTACAAAATTCTTTCTTTACAGCAACCCTATAAGGTAGATAAGCAACTCAAATGTTTTTACCCCCAATTTTTAGATAAGGAAAGTAAGGTTCTAAAATACTAAATGATTTAACCCTTGTTAGACAACTAACTAATAACTGTCAGAGCCAGATTTAGATCCTCCTCTTCTGGCTTTAGGTCCATTCCATGGCAGGTGGCAGTAAGCTACTTAGCACATTGCTCGGCACATATGAGCAGAGGTATGCTGGTAAATATTTTTTATCAACCATCTCTCTGGAAAAGAATGCATGCACATCACACTTTTAAGTTTATTTTTCATTATTAACACTTTCCTAGGTCTAGACAATCAGTAAAACCATAAATCAAGCCCTGCTTTTTGGCATTTGCCTGTTTTCAAGGTGTAAATGCTCCCACCAAAAATTTAGCAATCAGCTTTCAAGAGCTGGTTTGATCTGGCTCCATCACACTTCTGCATATGCAGTGCATGAAAAAAACCCATTTTTGATTGATTGATTAATAATCAGACTTTAGATAAGCCTTTCTGGTAATAATACTGCTGCAGCAGCATCCTCTCAAGTCTCATAGAGCATCAGTCTGGGGGTTAATAACTAAGACTCCCAGATCTCTCAAAGGTTTTAAAAGAGAGATATAGGCTATAAGTCCTAGACTAGGAGTCAGGAGAGAACTGGGTTTGAATGGTGCCTCTGAGAGCTTCCTAACTACGTAACACCGAACAAGTACCTTCATCTATCTCAGCCTCATTTTCCTTATCTGTAATATGTGAATAATCATACCTATAATCTCTATTTCAAAGGGCTATTGAAAGGATTGAATGAGCTATTGGAAAATACATTTCAAATTTTAAAGACCTATATACATTATAGTAGTTAGTATTGGTATTAATATATGATGCAGCCCAGGCCCAACTTCAAATTACCCTATACATCAAAACCTTATGTAGTTGCACTTGGAAGCCAACTCAACTTTTGGCAATAATTCACTTCAAATCAACAAACATTTAAGTGCCTATGGTGTGTCAGGTACTGTTTTAGGGATTAGAGACATAAAATCAAAAAATGAAACAGTCTCTGACATCAAGGCTTAAATTTTGCTAACTCAAAATGCATATGTAATAATTACAAAGTAATTTCAGAGTGGCACTGCATCCTGGGGGATCAGGAAAGGCTTCTTGTTGGTGAAATTGCTTCATCTGAACCATTAAGGAAGGAAGAAAGCTGGAGATTTCAAGAAGGAAAATGGGGAGAAGGAGCACCCATGCAAAAGGCATGGAAGTCAAATATGGAATGTCATATTGGGAACAGCAGGCAGGTCGGTTTGACAGGCGTGTAAAATGCATAAATAGGAATAATGTGAAATTAGTCTAGAAAGATAGGTTAGCTAAAGATTGTGAATGGTTTTAAATGCCTTAGAAAGAGGTTATAATTTGTTGTAGAGGCAACAGGCAGTCAAGGATGCTTCTTGAGAAGGAGAGTGACATGGTCATACCTATCACACTATAGTCAGGGATCTTTCTTTTATAATAATTAATGCATTAAGCAGACATGTAACATGATGTAATTTTTTTTAAGTATTTTACTTGGAGCAAAAAGAAAGGAAAAAACCTCATCTGGCCATTGGCCTCCCACTGACTCCCACAGCCCTATATCTGAACAACTCACTTAATATCTCTTCAACTCAGTTTCCTCATCTGTGATAGTATGGGGAGTTAAATGTGCTTACACAAATGTCAAAGAGGTGGAATGAGAATTAAAAGAGATAATATATGTAAACCACTTGGTAAGTCTAAAGCACTATAAACTAGGATGAAATGGATTGGCTATTACACTCAATCCCATTTTTTACTGTGCCCCAGATGCTTCTCTAAATTCACACAGCTAGTTTGATATTTATGATATGGTCATCCACTCAGTCAAATCTTATTAGTACTGTCAACTTTTGCTTTTATAATGAAGAGACATAAAATTAATTGAACAGGTAGATATTCATACAGTTCACTTATTCTAATCTAATAACTATAAAAAAAAAAAACATCTTTTTGTCCATGATCATGCACCTCATACCACAGCCTACCTTTACTCCTTTATGAGCACACCAATAAGATTTAATTTTATTTCCCCATCTTATGAATACTTTAAAGTCTTATCATAGCCAAGTTAGGGTGGCCTCATTTGAACGTACAGATTTATAACACACCATGAAGGAGTAATGTATCTTGAACACTGGGGCATTATGGAGTACCATGAGCCTAAATTCTACCTCCACTATTGCTCCTCCCTTTATAGGTGGTTACACGATGTTATGGGAAAAACCCTGGCTTATAAGTTAGGAGACCAGAGTTCTTCCCCAGATTGTTATATTAACTAGCTATATGACCTTGAGCAAGCCACTTAATATCAATGGACCTCACTTTCCTTATCTATAAAATGAAAAGATTGCGTGTAACAGATAATCTCCTAATTCCCTTCCTGCTCCATAGTCCTAGCTTGAACATAGAGAAAGCAATGAAAGAAGAAAGTTGAAGTAGAATGTTAAGGGTATTAGGGTTTGAGTGTTTTAGGGTTTTTTTTTTTTTTGGATGAATGGTATGCCAGTACGAGCAGGATACCAGCTGCAGATGGGGAATAACACTTTCCAAGATGTCTTAGTTACAGGCAAATATAATTCTATACACAATGACTATTTTATCTGGGTGAAGATGGGCTTTTCTCTTTACAAAGACAACTTCAAAAAACTTTAAAATATTACTAGGGTAGAAGGCTGAAACAAGATCCTTATTCACTGGGGGATAAAATGTCCAAACTACATCCTCCAAAAGCATGTATTCTATACCATGGGGACATCAGAAAGGTTCTAGCTGACAAGGATGTCCCAGCATGGGAAGCATAAAGAAGAGGGGAAGCTGCCACTTTGGTGAATTTTCATGGGCCTAAGCATCCACTACAAACTTTAATTTTCAGTCAATATGAATGGCTAAGTCTAAATCATTCCAGCTAAAGCACTTCACAATATCTAGAATTCAAATATATATATATATATATATATATATATATATATATATATATATATATATATATACACACATATATATATATGTGTGTGTGTGTGTGTGTTGCATGTATATATGCATGTCTGTGTGTGTGTATATATATGTTACATGTATATATGTGTGTCTGTGTGTATATATATGTACGTATATATGTGTGTCTGTGTGTGTATGTGTGTGTGTGTGTATATATATATATATATATATATATATATTATTTCCTCTTTTAAGATCACTGTGTCTATTACTTTAATGTTTAGTTGAGTTAGGACTTCTAATGACATTATAAAGAATGTTACCAAAAATATATTATCAGAGAAGAAAGTATGTGGCAAGAATCAGGGAAAATTGTTGGACAATTTTTGTGATACATTGGTATCTTGGGACATTGGTATCTTGGAAATGTCCAGAGACTTCAAAGAGGGCTCCCAGTTTTGTTACACAATATACCGTTCACTGAGCCATCCACACAACTACAGAAGACAATTTGATATGGATAATGATGATAGCCTAGGATCTTTAAATGCACTCTGACACATCAAAAATGGATTAAAATAATAGAATTTTAGGACTGAAGGCACACTTAGAGATTATCTAGTTCAATTTTTAATATAAACAAACTTAAGTTATGCTCAGGGTGGTATTAGGGACTAATGTCAATTACTAGATTAAGAAATTAACCCTCAATGTATAGCATGTATGGGTATAAATAGTAATTACATAACTGTATTTTTAATCTAATTTTTTAATTAGTAAAGATTTATTCTCTTTCCTTCCCACTTTCCTGTACCCACTGGAAAAAAAAAAAAGAAAGAAAAGCAAAACATTTATAACAAATGTGTAGCAAAACAAATTCCCACACTCTTCATATCCAAAAATATATAGTTCATTCTGCATCTCAAAACCATCACCCGTCTGTCAAGGTGTGAGTAGCATGCTGCATCATTGGCAGTCTACAACTGCAGTTAGTCTACAATGATCAGAGTTAAACTGTAATATTTGATAATTAAAATAGTTCATTCTCTGGACATGTTATTAAGACAAGGAGTCTGTCACTTGCTAAAACTGGTACATGCATTTTAAAACAAATTACAAATAACACTTTATAGTGTCATAAACAGTCATCATTCTTTGTGTATTTGAATTTGAAAGTATTTACAAAGTTTGGAATTTTGGAAATGGGGAATTTTCTGTGGTTTGAAAATAACCAGTGTGTGTGGTTAAATTCAGTCAAATAGTTGGTATAGGTCACTGGGCTTCTTGAATTTTTTCCACTCCCGACCCCTGGGCAGCATTCATCGGTATTCCATGCTCAGTGCAAAGTATGCATGCTTTGAGTTCAAAACCAAGGCTGCAGTGAAGTTGCATGCTGAAAGCCCTGCCAGAAACACCTTGGATTCATTCATTATGTAATGTTTGAATTTTAATTAATTTTTGGTCATTGCGCATTCAGAAACCTTTTACTGTTGTCAAATTTTTCCCGACCCCGTCACAGCCCCACAGTTTAAGAAGCACTGATGAGTGTTTAGGCAAACCCCTGACTTGTTGGACTAGGGTACCTTTTCTAGAGCTAGAATATGCTTTGGCTCTCCATTGAGGCACGTGTGCTTTTGCTAAGATGACATAGAGAACTGTTGAAAAGCTCCCAGAGGCTGCTTCAAAGACTGTCAACTGAGAGTCAGAAGTTTGGGCTCTTGTTGGGAGAAACCTATTCATTTGTGGTCTTTAAGAATAAAGGAGGTAACCCCAATTGCCTAATAAAAAAAAAAGAGGTAAAGGAGGGAGGAATTTCCAGAAAAGAGTCCCAAAAGACAATGGAGTCATTTTTTCTTCAAGATTGCGGAGGAGTAACTCCTCTGAACAAGAGTCCATCATCTGCCTGACTCAGTCTCCAATCACCTTCTCCTCTACTCATTAAGGACCCTAACTAGGCTTTCCCTATGTCTTCCTTACAAAGGCCCTTGTCCCTTAGCAAGAAGCCCGAGTGCATGTGTAATTCCATGAGACATACACAGTCTATCAGTTGATAGCACCCTGCCCACTGTGAAGCACCAATTATTGACAATACATAGCTGCTATGTTTTAAACTATTTTCTATTTATAATCATATATCTAAAGTTGGATAGGGAACCATTAACCAAAGGGAAATAGAGCAAAAGGAACTGCTGAGCCAAAAGTAAGAAAGCAAGCCAGTCCTGAGTCCAAAGAATCAAGGGGAATTGGGCTTTTTACAATAGTATTGGAAATTCAGAAAATTCATTTTCTTGAATATGGGCTTGGAAAAGAGTTTGGGGGGAAAAATAAGAGCAGGCATATACACTGTAATAAAGTCCTTACTTCCATTGCCCCTAAAAGATTGGCACTCTCTCCAATGCTTTCTTCTATGTACCTTCGTTCTTCATCTGTAATGGTCGGGTGCTTAGCAGGGCTCTCATAAGACACCAAAAGCCAAAACATGTACCAGACCATTCCAAAACTCCCTGTTGAAAAGAAAGGGCAGAGGATAGGACACTGAAGAAGTAAGACTTTAAAATGTGAGATGCACATAGAGAAGTTTCCATTTATTTATATAATTAGCAATTCGTTCTTATTTCATTAGCATGTTGAAGGCAAGAACATTTTAGCCAAGAATACGTTTTACTCGCAGCTCCAGCTTACATCAGTATAGCAATGGCATCACACTTCAGTGGAGGTGAGAATGGCACTGTAATTGCTTTCACCAATGCACTGATTCCACTGGATGAGAAAGTAGAGCTCATATTAGTAGACTTCAGTCATTCTGAGAATTCATGAATTGGTTTAGTCAATACATAGAGCGGCAGACATTGGAGGCATGAAAAGTGAAGCACTTAAATCCCTGTTTCACCTGGGGATTTAAGAAAGCATTATAGGTAGGCACAATCTATCTCTACAAACCAAGACAGTTCTTTGGAAAGGGAAAAATGGAATTAACCTGGTTGCTTGGCATTAGCTAAACAAATGGACACTTTTGTTATATGAAACAAATCTTAAAAAAAAAAAAAAAAAGCTAAAAACCCCGACTGAATTCAGTCAAACCAATTTGTCAGATAGACATAGTCTATATCATTTCTATATGACTTTCCTACTGGTAGAGTAAAAAGGTAATTCTTAAAATCCCAGTGGCATGGGTCCCCTCACTCAATTTTGGAAAGTATTTTTAAACATGTGAATGCATGTGTGTGTGTGTGTGTGTGTGTGTGTGTGTGTGTGTGTGTGTGTTTGGGTTGATGGGGGAAGGGATCTGTTCATTACCATTTATCTAAAGCTTAGAAACATCACTCTCACGGACATTTTTTTTTTGTGTGGTGGTGGTGGTGGTGGTAATGGCTGGGGGTTCTTGGATTTGTGATTTCATCATTGTGAGTAGAAACTCTGATGTGGAAACTCCCTCCACCCATGCTCTCAGCAAATGATAGTCTTAGAGAACTGCCTGAGGGAATTGATAGGTTAAGTGACTTGCCCAAGGTGACCTAGCCAGGATGTGTCAGAGGTGGCACCATCTTTTAAAACAAAATTCAGCATCTTTTCTTGTTCTAAGTGCTTGGACATAAAAGAAGCGAGGCACAGTAATTAATTCTATATTCAACATTCTATATTTCATGTAAGTAACCCTTGTGTTCTTTCCAGCATATGGTAATATCACCTAATGTATTACCAAGTCATTCGATAAACGAATGGCTATAAACGCCTTCACTTTGAGCCTTGTGAATCCTTTTTCATGTCTTTCCTTTTTAGCAATATCATCATTTTAAAAAAATGCCTGCTCTGCAGTATATGTATTCTTAGTCATTAATAATAGAAGAAACGTTGACTGATTTATTCTAGTTTTTCAATTGCTGGACATTTCAATTCCCCCCATCATGCTATTCTTTCAGTAGCTTGTTTCCCTGAGGAACAAGGTGAATGTCCTGATCTTCTCCCCCTACTCCCACCCCATTCTTAATCTCCGTTGATTCTCCTTAACACCCTGGCTGGCTTACATCCTTGTTCTGTTCCAATCAATTACGGAAAATTACTATTATGCTCCAGCTCTATTTGCCTCACAGGAGAGGGGGTTATTTGTTCAAATATCCAATTTAGAGTGCCTGCAATTTGCATTTTCCATCTTAGCTGTACATGCTCAATTCTTATTTTCTGTCTGGGTAAATTCGTTAAGTATAACATATTTCAAAAGTTGTTTGTTTGTTTTTATTTTTTCCGATCTAAAGGTTGCCCTGTGTCTAAACCAGGTCAGTAGCGGTCATTGTATATGGCATGACTTTAATATAAGGTCAATTGACATGTATGGCATATAGAAAGAAGCCCATGTCGTTAGTAACCTTATGGCGAAGGACCTTTGCCATCTATTTCTACTCTACCTTTCCAGTCTTGTCACAAAACTCACATGTCCACATTTTCTACACTTCAGCTCAACTGGATTCCTGTCTGTTTCCTGATTAGACCTTGTACTTTCCCACTTCTTTGCCTTTGAGAGGTAGTATGATATGGTGGGAAGGGATTTCAAATCCATGGGATTTAGAGTCAGAAGACCTGGATTCTGACCCTATCTCTGACACTTATGGCCTGTTTAGGTAAGTTACTTAATCTTTCTGGGCCTCAGAATCCTCATCTGTATATTAGACTTGATTACCTCTAAAGTCTCTTTGAATTCTAAATCTTTGAGCCAATGAGTATTTTCTCACACTTTTCCTTAGGCCTACAAAGATCTCCTGACTCCACTATACCTGATAAACTCCTTCCCATTCCTTAAAGTCTGCCTGACCCTTTTTCCCATTGGACCACACCAAGCATTTGGTTTTGAACCTCTCTAACGTACATATTTCTTATTATATATCATTGTCATTGACTTTTTTTCTATTAGACTAAAAGCTCCCTGAAGGCAAGAACTATATCTTAGCTAAATTTTGTCCACTCCAGTGACTAGTGCAGTCTTCTAGTACTTATAATAAATATTTTAATTGAAATTATTTATTCTGCTTTCTCTCTAACTAAATGAACAATTGAGCCGCTTATCTAATGAGATCATGAATCTTCTTATCCCCCAAATAATAGAAAGTCACAACTTAGTAGATATCCTATAAACTATTCACAATCTCTACCATCCCCTGGTGTTTTCTTCATAAAGCAGTAATAAAATGGGACAAATTGAATGAGCTTCTGGGACCTGATTCTCTGTCACCTTTTATTCATCTTTCAGATCCTCACCTTCATTTATTAAGAGAAAGAGGAAAAGTTCATTTGGTGGCAGTTGAAAACTAATTCCCTAGCAATTTCTTCTTTCCTTTATCAATTTATCTGGTTATTTTTAAAATGTCACTTAGAAAGGAAGACTATAGTTTGGCTTTAAAGAAACAAGCCTTGTAGCTAGGGAGAGATGGTCTACAATTGATTGAGAATGGTGTGTTGACATCTCAGGACCAGAATTTGAATCCACACACTTACCATCTGTGTGACCTTGGACAAGTCACTTAATCTCCATGGACCTCAGTTTCCCTATCTGTAAAATGAAGGTATTAGACTAGATGACCTTTAAAGACCCTTCCAGATCTACATCTATGATCATGATTCTCTTTCCTTTCAAGTCTAGGGAAAGAAAGATTAGGTTCATACAGCCTAAGTTTACTAAGTTTACAGGATTATACAGTATATTAGGAGATTGGCCCTGTATCCACAACCCAAAGGAGATGAGAAGAATACAGATGATGAAGAGAAGAAAGGTAGAGGAGTGCATGTTCGTAAGTTCTCCTTCCATCTCATCTCATCCAGTAGAAATCAGTTAATAGATTCTATTTCTCCTTGTTAGGGATGATTAAAGGTTAAGTTACAAGAACAGCATATATTTTTAAAGTTTCATTTTTTTTTGTAACATAGAAACAAAGAACACCAATAAAATTTTTAAAAATAAAGTACAGTTCTTTTAATTCAGCCTTTCATTATCTCTAGCAAAAAGCAGTGTGACACAGTAGATAGAGAGTAGGTCTGAGTCAGGAAGATCTGGATTCAAGTTCCATCTGCATCTGACACATGCTGGTTGGGTCCGCTGGTCTAATTATTTAACCTCCCAGTGCTCCAGGTAACTTTCTGAGGCTATAAGTCCTAGAACATTCACTGATCTCCATTGATAAGGGGAGTTTCCTCATGGAGAGCACCCTATGCCAATGAACTCATACATCTAGTTTCATCTTACAACTCTCTCTTAAACACACACACACACACACACACACACACACACACACACACAAGCACAAGAAGAAAAAAAGAACATTTTGCTTAGAGAAGTCTATGTTGGCAGCTTAATAGCTATTTCCAAGAAGCAACGAATAGTATGAAAAGAATTATGGGTGGGAAATATTTTTTTAATCTCAAAATATTAAGGTGAGAGAGACACGACAGAAGTAAATACAACATGACTCGAATTCTTCAAAAGATCTGTGATTTCAACCATATGGCTACTCTTCACCAACAGATTGCAAACCCTCCATGCCTTGGCAGAATATTTTCATGATTTGATGTGGCAAAAAAGAAAAAAAAGTCATTCGTTATGTGGTGGCCAGCCAAGTGCATTTATCTGGCGTGGTTATTGGTTGACAATTGGAGTCCGTCTCTGGGATACTCATAGCATTTCCAATTTGGTACACTCTGACATAGTTTAGATTCCAAGAAGCAAGACAAGATAAGGGACAGCTTGATACAGGGGATAGAGCCATGTATTTGGAGTCAGACAACCTGAGTCACTTATTTAAGACCAAGGAGGGGGAGAGAGTCACAACCTTTTAGGGCCTTAGTTTCCTTATTTGTAAAAATAAGAGAATTGACCTAGGATCCTTCCAAATGTAAATCTATTCCCCAGAGTTTTAGCTTTTGAGAATCATGTCACCTGTTCAAAGATGGCATCAGAGGAGGACTTTAGTGAAGGAAATGCTACGTCATGTCAAAATTCACTATAACCAAATGCTATCTTTCATTTTAAAAAAAGGTATTTTACTATTTTCTCTTCAGCTTGGACTTATTGCCATTAACCTGTGGCTAATAATGACACACCTGGCTGAGAATAGAGCAGGCTTGTCTTGAATGTAAAAGGTTAACATACCATAAACATAAAACACTGAAGACCATCCAGTATATTGCACGAGAATCCCGGCTAACGGCATAGCAATCACAGCTCCCGCATAGGAACCTATAATAAACAGAAGAGAAGATAGGAAATGAATAGACATTGTTGACTTGAGCTCATGTTCTACAGAAAAGAGGAGCAAGTTACTTACCACAAAATGAAGTGGTTGCTAGTCTGCTCCTTTCTAAAGGAGGGGCCCATTTACTCCATATCCCATGGCAAGCAGGATAGGTGACTCCCTGTGGAGGAAAATGGGGGGGGGGGTGAGGCACAGAATACTGAGAAACTGAAAAGTAAAACCACTTGCCTTTCCTGTATCTTATCTACAGACTAGTACCAAGTTGTTCCAAAATGCAATTAAATGTCACTTTCTCTTTGTCTTCCCTGCCCTCTTAGACACTTTGGATCTCAAGAGGGAGAAAACCTATTTTAAGGTAAAAATTACATCCACCTTCCCTCTCCAAGGTTTTCGCATCACTTCAAATTTTATTCTGCTCCAGTTTAGAAAAAAGAAGCTAAGAGTTTTATCCAGACCCACAGTTCCTCTGCCCCTCCAGGCATTTCTCTGCAGAATTTTGGAAGATAATTTGGGGATATGTCAATTTCTCTATGCAACTCATTGGTTCCAAAATGAAAGGGACAGCCAGGAGCCATTGCTGATCTCTGATTTTTGAAGGTCATATTTATGGAGCAAAGTAATTACTGAGCTTCATTGGTTATTTCTGAAGCTTGGTGACCTTAGCAAAACATTTAGTTTCCTCCATGATTTGTGGTCTTATCTGCTAATTATAGGGAGAAGACTTTTGTCAATGATTTAAAATATTCTTCTCTCTCACAAATTGACATCCAATAAATATAACATTGGCTAAACTCATAATTGCTGTTAAGTGTTAAAAATTAAAAGTTGGCTGTCCTTTTTTATTTCTAGACAGCAGGAATCTGTTTAGTGGAACACCAGCTTGAATTGACAGAATAAAATCAGAAATACTACAAGTGAAAAAAAAAAACCTAGAACTTTCTAAGAGAAATTCATGATTGATTCATGGTTTCTCCCAGAAATTTCCTGACTCAAAAGATTGTATTGTCCTATTTCCACAAAGAAGTTGTGTCTGCACAATGCCAAGACAACTAATCATTTTTTAAAAGCAGCCAGTTCTTTGCAAACTGTCACTTATACAGTGATTTGGTATCATGAAGACAGAGCAAATGTAAACTGTCTTCTTATTCTTAGTGCTATCTTTCCCATCCTCTTCACTTGGCATAGCCAATGAGTTACCAAGTCCTGTCAATTCCATCTGATCCCTTTTTTCTCTACCCACTGCCATCACCCCAGTATGAGTCATCCTTGTTACTGTCTCCTTCCTTAACCCTTCCCTGATAGATCATCAGTAATGAACTTTCCCTAGATGCTAGGGAGGTAGTGTGATGTAGTAGAAAGGATGCTCAATCTGGCATCGGGGAAACATGAGTCCAAATCTTGCTTCTGGCTTAGCTGTATGACAATGCAAGTCATTTAATCTCCTTGGGCCCCACTTTCCTCATCTGTAAAATGGGAGTAAATAATACTTGTAATAAAACTGAGTCTACATCTGTGATTTTGTTGGTGAGAACTCCTGAGGGATGAAATTCCTTCTGCCAATTGAGGTTGACAAGTAGTCTGTCATTTACAGTTTTAGAGAGTTGATGGAAAGCACCAAGATGTTAAGTGACCTGCTTAGAGTTACACAGTATGTATCAGCTCCAGAACCTGAACCCAGGTCTTCTTAGTTTCAAGTTTGGTCCTATCTATTATACCACATTGCCACATACAATAAAACTCTAAATAAAGTCAGTTATTATTGTTTATGTGGTTTTAATGTGCTCACATAAAATAATAACTGACATATCGAGTTTTTAGGGAGAATTTTTAGGGAAGTTTATAAAGTATGATAAAAAGAAAAGGAAAGAAAGGAAGGAAAGAAAGAAAGAAAAGAAGGAAGGAAAGGAAGGAAGGAAGGAAGGAAGGAAGGAAGGAAGGAAGGAAGGAAGGAAGGAAGGAAGAGAAAGAAAGAAAAAAATAGGGAAAGAAAGAAAATGTGTGTGTGTGTGTGTGTGTGTGTATATATATATATATATATATATATATATATATATATATATATATATATATATATATATATATATATATATATATATATACGTATATGTATGTACGTATGTAATGAATCTCACCACTATAGTGTGAGATATGTAACATAGATATTACAATGCCCATTTTACAGAGAACACTTAGGTACAAGGACAACAATAGCCTTGCTTGTGGTCATGTAGTTGATAGGCATCAGAGGTATGATGTGAATTCAGGTCTTCCTGCCCCTAGAGAAGAGAATTTGGAGCAAAGAGTAGTAATTGCAAAGAAAAAAATATTTAGGCTTGATATAAAGAAAGGGGAAACTATCTTTTGACAATTAGATACATCTCAAAGTGCAAAGGGCTTCGTTGTCTTTGAGAAGTAGTTGGATGGTCACCTGTCAGGAAGGTTGTAGGGGGCAGTCTTTTCTGGCATGAATTGGACCAGATGCTATTGAGATGCCTTCTATCTCTGAATGTCAATGATTCATAACTGCAAGGCCAACACTCTTCTGTATATACCATAACATCCTGTTATATTCTGAACTCCTTAAGGATAGGCATTCATCTAATCCTTATTACTCCCCTGGGGACTATGGTGCCCAGCACAAAATAAAGACACTGTTGAATGGAGCTATATTGCATTTCAATCAGTAGGTTTGGCACTGTGTACACTTAACTGTATATCAAGTCTTCATTTATCAATCAGAAAAGTTAATCTGTTCATTCTGTTTGTTGTACTACTATTCCATACCTCAACAAGCCCTTGTAAGATCCTAACAAATATAACACAGCCATAGTGCACTCTCGCTGCAGACGGGATTAGCATATTGAGGGTGGAAGTGAGAAGTATGGCAGCTCCAAAAACCCTGCAAAAGAGAAAGGATAGCAGACAATAAACATTACCCAAAAGATCTCATACTTTAAGTGCTCCCAAATTAACATTTTTGGAGTAAATTAAACACCTGTTGGAAATTATCTTTAACACAGATTTTAAACATTGAAAATGTTCTGTGCTTCATTGAATGATTATTCAGTCCTCAAATATTCCAATGGTTCTTGATCCCATTAACGTTGCTATTCCTATCAACAAGGCAGATTGTCACCCATCTGTGTCTGCCCATCCTGTGTGACTCTTGATTATACCTTCCCCTAAATTTGCCAAAGTAGGTCCACTCAACACAATAGATACCTTCCTCAGCTTCTCCTGACATCTCAAAGATACCAGCGGAGCACGACAGCTGTCCTCATTCTCATTGTAATGATTAGTAATTTCAAATAGAGGAATGAACCATATTTCTTTAAACATATTTTATTACTCACATACACTAATGAAAATAAGTACATTAATATTTGATAAATCTCATTTGACCAATGTGTAGGCATATATATGCTTATAAATCTATCTGCATATATGATATATATACAAATATATTTGTAAGTATATACGCATGTATAATAATGCTATTCAGGCAGACTTCAATGCTGCATGGACATAAAGGGGTACTATATATAAATATATTTCAGGTGAGACAGAATCCTATTTTTAATGTTGAAAGAAACCCTACATAGAATTTCTTTTGAAAGTCAGCAAGAAAAGTCAAAGGACCTAGGTTCGAATGCCTGATCTGTTGGCCACGTTCTAGCCATGTGATATTAAGCAAATCCTCAGAACTTCATGTCCTGCTTTGGTAAAACATGGATATTTGCACCTGCCCTATCTACCTCCCTGGATCATGGAAAGAATCAGATAAAATTGTGAAGCTAAAGACTTTTGAGATTGCAAAGAACAATTTTATATTATTATTATTTAAATAAAAATGAGGTTCCTGTACCATCATTATTATTCTGTGTTTTTTTAACTGTGTATGTAAACATAGTTTAACACATAATTTAGAAGATACTGACAGAATAATGTAGTTAAAACCTTAGTCCACCTGGAAGAAAAATTTTTAAAAAACAGCCCTTATTCTTTTTTAAGCATGTTATAGTAATGTTCAAACTGTATCAGAAGAACCATTCCTTTAGTTTAATAATTTAAGTAAACCAATCTGGTCAAGATGTTGAAGGATGTAAAACCTCTAACTGCAGGCTCTGTGCTTGGTACCAGTTTGATCAGACTCATCTTGGGCCTTCTATTCAGTCCTTAATAATGATGAATCATGTGGTAATAGCCCTAATTTGTATAGATGGGCACATTAACATATAACTATCTAATGAGTATAGTATTAAACATCATTGACCAGCTTCAAAAATTTAAGGATTAGTCCTAGGAATTGCTAGATAAGGAAAAAAGATCTGCTCTCTCTCTCTCCTCCTTAATACAATCTATTTTTGTAGCCTCTCTCCACTGAGGTAAATATTCACTCTACATGACCACATTACTTTCTCTGTATAAATATGCTTGGCCTGGATTCAATCTGTGCCTATACTCAGATTTTAAAACTGTGGATCAGGAGACTGAAATCTAGTTCTGACTCAGACAATGACCTTAAGCTGTTCACAGCCTCTTCAGGCTTCAGCTTGTCCATCTGTCAAAATAGGAAGCTAGACTAGATTATTTCTAAGGTCTCTTCAAGCACTGACATCTTATATTCTATGGACTTACTAATTAAGACTAGGAGTTGTTTTACCCATTTAATCTAACTTCTGCCAAATTCTGGTTGTGTTTAGGCAGTTTCTTGTACATTGAAAATAAATGTTAATTCCCATAGCCTTTCTCTAAAAAATCTGAGATAACATGCAACTTTAAAAAATAATCAGATTAAAAGCCAAATTTAACTCATGGTTATAGACAAATAGTGTGCTCTGTGCCCCAGAAACAAAACTCTAACTTTGAATTTCTTTGTGCCTGCAAGTAGTGGGTTATACAAAACAAGGAAAGGATTTTTTCCTTTGGGGCTATGGGAATACGGGTATTGGGTATGGGCAGAGTATCCTTTCAGAACAAAAGGTATAATCAGAGGGCAATTGGGGAATTTACTTGGGAGTGAGGAATATTGAGGAGTGAACTATATTTATTTAGATTTATGATTTTTTCCTAGGAGGATTTAGGGATGAGCAATAGAAGAAAAAGTTACAGAGCAGCCAGCAACCATTTCCTTCACTCGTTGAATCTCCTCCCTAAGTGGCCAAGTCTTCATGGGTATTTGTTATGATTATCTTTCCACAGATTCGCTCTGAAATACGTTTGTATACTAGACATTTTTTTAATGATAAAGGCAACTAAGTCAAGGCATTGTAGAAATTTTACATTGCTAATGATTTTTAAATATTCACTACAAGGTCCAAGTTTTCCCTTGAGAAGTATAATTCACATCCAATTTAGCTGGACCTAATATTAGCCTATATCAGGTCATGCAGAAAACCAAGAAAAGGAGTGAATCTTGCTTGACGTGAATGGCTAGTAATGATGGATAACAGAGAGGAGGCAGAACTACTGGGTTCTTCTTTTGTTTCTGTTTTCTTTGCCAAGAAGAATGATCTCAGAGTGGGGAGAAAGAATAAAAATGATTAACAAGGTGTTGAAACCCAACATACATCAAGAGATGTTCAAAGAGTACCTAGATGCCCCCAGTGCATTTAAGTACCGAGTGCAAACAAACTCAATTCCGGACGATGAAAAGAATTGGCAGGTGTGATTGGTTAGCCAATATGAGGAAGCTTTGAAGACTCAAGATAAACGGGAGAAGAGCACTTGACACTGATATTGGCTCCCCTTCCAAAAAGGGAAGGGGGGGGGTTCTTAAAACTATTAGTCAATGAGCTTGACTTTGATTCTTGACTTGATGGTCTCAATATTTATTATTAAAAGGATAACTTATGAGTATTTACAAAGGAAGTTGTAATTACCCAGAACAGGCTATTTCTTATTTTAACTAGATCAGCTTATGCTTTATTAGACTGGTAAATCTTATTTTAGAAACCCAAAATACCAAAACTCATAGACTACTCAAAAGCTTCATGTTTATGAATGTATGTATGAATATCATTAATATTTTCTTCCAGAAGAAAGTCATAAAACATTGAGTGTGAAGAGCGCTTGACAATATCATGCAAGAAAATAAAATGCAGATATCTTAAGAAACCAAAAACGACTGCTTACTGTTGTGGAGTTTCAAAATGCGTGTTTACTCAGACTATTAACTAGTGGAACTAAGGCCAAAACCAATATCAAATTAGACAAAAGGTTAAGATAAGAAGATACCACCAATACTTTCTACAACTTCAGCCCAACCTTTTCAAACAATTCATCATCCATGACAAAAGTGGGAGATGGAAAAAGGCAAAGATACTGACTTTGTCATAATTTTCTCTAAAAAGTTTAACAAATACAAAGTTGTGTAACAACAACAAAGCCAAAAGTACCCAGAAAATACATTATTTTCTTTCCAAGTGGAGAGACCTTTATGCAAAAGGAATACTAGATCATAATATAAAATTGTTTATAAAACCTTATGGAAGAGGGTGGCAGAAAATTATGATCAACATCTCATAAAACATTGAAAACCAGCCTTCATAGATATTGATGTGAGAACCAACTAAGCAATATTGCCCTAAAAGCATTCATAACTGTAACTGCCATGTGGACAACACATAGATGCAAAAAGATAAAGAGAGTGTCAATGTATCAATAATGATCCATTTCCATTATTGTTCACAATTCAAACTCTAGCCTCTCAGTCTATGATGTGTTGAACAAGCAAAAGAGTAGAAATTACATAAAAAAGAGAATGAGGAAAAGAAACTGAAGCAGACCAAGTATAAACTGAACAAATCCGTGCTAGAGGCAAAACAATCTTGAAAGCATTGAAGGATATTTTAAGGAATGAAAAGTAACCAAAACAACGGAAAATCATGAATGATATTAATCACCACAGATCACTTAATCACTACAAAGACGTGAGTAAGAGGACATAAAAACTATCAACTCATACGCCTACTTGATTGTCTTTATAAAATCTGTGCAAATGATCTATAGACTATCAAGGTTATCCTGGGGGAGAATATGGAAAGAGAATGGTCAGTCTTTTGTAAATACAGACCACATTTTTATGGTTATATAACTGGATGAAAGGCACCAAAAATTGCAAAACCCTATGTTTATTGTTGGGTTGATAACAAAAATACATTTTACTCAGTAGAGCAAAATGCAAATTTAAAGTCTATCTTCCAACAAGCTTATTAAAGTTAAGATTATGCAGGTTCCTTGACAACTTCAACTGCAAAATTGACACTTTTGGATGATCCCATTATCGTTGACATCGAGCAAAGCATGACAGAGGAATATGGAATCTCAGCAAAGGTATTCATCACTGTCATAAAGGGTGCTGTTCTCTGGACCAAATAGAAAAGGGACTACCTAAAGATTACATCTTTGAGTTGTCCTTGTTTGCAGACCAAAGTGTGCTAAGTGTGAGTCCCAGAACATCAAAGCACCTTTTCTCTAAGAGTCGTGATAACTCAAAATACAATGTCCTAATAAACTATTGGTGAAAAACTAAAAGGAGGAAAAACAGCTATTTTTTCAGACTATAGGTTGGAAGGCAAATCCATTGAATCAGCTTATCAGTCCACATGAATATATGATATATATGACATATATGATATAAATATATGACAAAGACATTGTGGATGGACAATTAGATCTAGATTGAGTAAGAGAGAATATTCTGGATTGTCTTTAGGAAATTACGTATGTTTTTAATTATACCTGAAACAAAAATAAATATTTTAATACAATTAAAAGGGCCGGTGCTCTATCTGCTGCGCCACCCAGCTGCCCCATCACTGAATCTCAATTTCCTCAATTGCAAAATTGAACGTGGGGTCAAATTAGAACATCTCAAAGTTCTCTTCTGGTTCTAAA